AGTGAATGACTGATGGAGTCGTTTTAGCGGATAGACTAGGACCACTTGTGCTTTTTTAGTTTTTGAGTTTGGATCTAATTTTGTTTTTGATAAGGATTTTTTGGTATCGGTAAGTGGTCGAGGTGTATATGTTTTAGGTATTTGTAAATTTGTTCAGGAAAGATAGGTTTGTGCGGTTTGGGTTATGAAGTTGAGTCATTGTGGGAATGGTTTTGGAATGGTTCTATGTTCTTGGGAGTCATCCTTGTGCATGGGCCATGCTAATATTCTCTATATCGTTTCAGTTTTATTAGATGTCACCGAAGGCGGGAAAGTTAGTTGTACCTGATCCCACATCGGCTGGGAAAGAGAACTAAGCATTCCTTAAAAGGGGTTTGGATACCTTCTTTGTCACAACACGGTTTAAATTCGTGAGGGAAACAGATCCCATAAGAACTTTGTAATTAAGCATGTCTGAGCGAAAGAAATTCAGGGACGGGTGACCCCATGGGAAGTTTTTGTGCCAGGAGCCCAAAGCGGACAATATTGTGATATGTGCCTGGGGGATGTTAATTATCTTTTTTCTAACCTAACCCATCTTGAAGAAACCCAAATCGGTGTTTAAGAGTTTCTCGACGCCTTCTTCCTGCATTAAGAAATTCACATGATTTTAGTTCAAAAAAATTTGAAAAGATAGTTATACCCTTTTATTTAGTTATTTTTTTAAATAATTTTTATAAGTATTCTAATACCATTTTAACTTAAAAATAAAAAGAAAATAAAATATTTATCCCCGACCTCCCCCCCCCCCCCCTTATAGTTTTATTTCTCTCTCTTTCTGTTTTTCTCTCACTCTCACTCTCTCTCACACACACACACACAAAGAGTACAAACAATTACCATCTTTATCTTTTCTGATCATCCCTTCCCAGACACCTTAAATCCATAATCAAACCCACACATGAAAACTTAAAATAAAAAACAAAAATTTGTCTATCCAAAAATACTTAAAATAAAAAACTTAAGAAATCCAAAAATAAAATTAAAACGGTAAGAAAGTCTTTTCAAGTATTTTAGGGACCAAAATCATGAGAATTTTCAGGTTTTGGATCTTTCATGCAAGTTGACAACTTTTTGGACTATATCCATAGTTTTTTGAAAACCACCAGGACCAATTTTGTAGTTTTGTCTATTTTTTAAATTAAAATAAAAAACATATCTCCACACTGTATCTCCGTGCACGACCCTACACTAGATCCCCATAAACACCACCACCAAATTCGTCGGCCACAGCTCCGCCCCACCCATTATAATCATTCTCACTTCTCGACGCAAACACATACATACACAAATACCTACAAATTAAACACAAACAAAAAAAAAAATGAGATTTACAAACATACATAGAAGAGATTTAAACACACAACTAACAAAATCAAAACTTTGTGTTTAGGGAACAATAAGTATAAAATCATGGAGAAAACTAGCAAAAACAAAAATTCCAATCATTTACGCAACATGTTACAAAAAACTATGATTGGATTATTGAACCTAAACCAACAAAATTCCTACATTGTAACACCCGGAATCTAGAAGACTAATTTGGAAATAAATCCCCTTTCCTAGGACCAACACGACGAGTTGATGGTGGGAAACTCGACGTGTTGGATGCTTTTGAGACGCGCGTTTTTATGAACCAACTCGGCGAGTTGGACCCTGATTAGGAAACCCTAATTTTTAGGGTGTTGCAACCTACTTAAAGGCCTTAAGTTCTTTGGCCGGCCTCTTTACCAGCCTCCTCTGTCAAGAAACCCTAAAATCGGGCCTTATCTTCCATTATTGAGTGTGTGAGCTTGGGGAGAGCCTTGAGTATTCGTTTTTGGTGCATGTTAAAGGAGCTAAGGAATTAGGAGTTGCTTGGCTTGAAGAAGAAGTCTTGGATCCATAATCCTTATCTTATTTGCCAAGTTTTTGAGGTATCAAGTTCTCACATTGCTTATTAGTTTCTTAGATCTCTTCTTGGGTTAGAGTTTATGCTTCTTATCTATGGTTGGGTGGATATTGGGGATTAGGATGCCCTAAATGATTATTCTTTCAGATATAAGGTCTACATGAGCTCTTTTAGCATAAAGGTGCCAACTTTATGGATTTAAGAGCTTCATGCATTCATTAAGTCTTTCATTTATCCCTTTTTGAGCTCCTCCTAGTCATGCTTAAGCGTAAAGTTGGAAACTTTACGTGTCCATCTAGCCTTATGGAGTCAGATATGTATTTTGGGGTTTTGTCTTTGATGATTAAGTGCTTAATGATTAAGCCCTCACTCTTTTATATCTAGAATTTGGGTTTGAACCCATTTAGTTGGTTCCTATGGGTAAAGTTGGAAACTTTACCCTTCTTGATCTCATTTTGGTCGAGATCTGAGCTTTGGAGCTATTGGATTTGATGAAGGTAGCTTAATGCATTAAGCTATTGGTTCTTGGGAAAACTCGGCGAGTTTGTTGGTCAACTCGACGAGTTGAATTGGTTTTTCCTGATATGTGCAGTTAATGGAGAAACTCAACGAGTTGAAGGACAACTCAGCGAGTTGGGTCAACTTGGACCGTTGACTTTGACTTTCGATTTGTCTTTGATCAAGTTTTTCCCAAGGGCTACTTGAGGTAATCTGAATTGTAATTAAGGGAATTATGGGCTTAGGATAAGGCCCATATGGGGTTGGGCCCAATTTGAAAAATTGGGCCATTGGTTGATTAATGGGCCTTTAGGCCTTTTAGATTGTAGTTTGAGTCATGGATTTGGATAAGGCTAGGTTAGGGGTAAAATGGTCTTTTTACCATGGGTATGAAGTTGTGGTTATGGATTGGAATCCAATTGCTAATTGGGTGTTATTTTTTATCTGATAGTTCGGAGGTGCCGCCAGGGCAACAGTTAAGGAATTCTTTCAGTGAGCTTCTGCATTCGAGGTGAGTTTCTTTACCGGGTTTAGCGGGTTGAAAGCACCAATGCCAGCCGATGTTTATGTTGTGTTGTTAGTGTGGTAGTTGTTTTTGTGACTCTTGCATATGCCGGTGTTTATATGTTTTCCGGGCTAAGGCCCGATGCCGGGCGGGGCCTGATGAATATTTGTATGCTGTGTATCTATGTGATTGATTATTGCATGTGTATGTTTTTATTTGATATATGTTACTGTATGTTGGGCAGGGACCGTTTTACCGAGCTCAGCTCGATGTCGGGTGGGGCCTGATGACAAGGCAAGGCCCACTATGTGTTTACTATATGTTTATTGTATGTATGGTATGAGGTATTTGGGAACTTACTAAGCTTCGTGCTTATAGTTTGTGGTTTTTTGTTTCACGTATCTCCGGTTCAAAAGGGAAGGACCCGACTTGATCGCAACGCATACACCCGTGTTTTCCGCAATATGTGATTTTGAGATTTTAACTCTGATAATTGTTTTGTTTTGAAACTCTTCTAGATGTTGGATTAAAGGTTAATGAATGTTTTGGGCATAATAAAAACGAAATTTTTACCATTGATTTTTAGAATATTACACAAATAACACAAATCCACAAAAACTTGTTCGAAAATCATGTTCTAATTGATAACACATTGTTTGGTGAAGAAGGCTTAGGTGATTCAAGGACCTAGAAAAGAAACATCGATATTCATGTCACTATGTACCTTTTTTCAAGCACCAAGTCACTAATAAATAAGGATCAATTAATCGAGCACCTCACATGCAGTATTTGAAAAAGAATTCTATTGTGCTTCAACACCGAATCTTACCACCATTCACCACCCCAATACAGTCACAACACACCACATCTTCGTCCCACGTATGGGCACTTACATTTCTTCTTATTTTTTTCTTATTTTTTTTTCCGTCTTTGATCTTGCGGTTTCTCTCTTGACCAAGACCACAAAAAAGTTTTTAGGGAATATGACTTATCAAGGTAATTAACTTTTCGGTATGTTCACATCTGGGTAACTATCTTTTTTTTGTATATATCTAGGTAACAAACTTTTTGGAAGTGTTCACATATGACCATTATGACCTGCTACAGCAGGTTAAATCCTAGATGTGAACGCTTTCAACAAGTTTGTTACCTAGATGTGTACAAAAAAAAAATAGTTACCCAAATATGAACAAAACGGAAAGTAAAAATTAAATTACATGAATGGTCCCTGTGGTTTGGGGGAATTTGTAGTTTTGATCGCTAACTTATTTTTTTTACTTAAATGGTCCCTACTATTTATTTTTGTTGCGCGTTTGGTCCCCGTCTTACCTAAAAATACTATTGTGCCCTTATTAATTTATTTTTTTAATTAATTTTCTTATCTATGTATTTATTTTTTACATATTTTTAAAAATTAATAGACCACACATATTTGTATCTCCTCGGATGATCCCTACTATTTATTTTTTAATTAATTTATTTTTTTTTAACTCGGATGGTCCTTACTATTTAATTTTGTTACGAACTTGGTCTCTGTCTTACCTAAAAAAGACTATTGTCCCCTTATTAATTTTTTTTAATTAGTTTTCTTGTTTGTGTACTTATGCTTTATATGTTTAAGAAAAATTAGTAGACCTCACATATCTGTATCTCCTCATCATCCCATCTTTCATCATTCTCAACTTCTATTTATTTTTCATCTTTAGTGATATCGACGTCTTCATGTAATTTAATTGTACCTTGTGCACAGGGACCATTCATGTAATTTAATTTTTAATTTTCGTTTTGTTCATATTTGGGTAACTATTTTTTTTGTACACATCTAGGTAACAAACTTGTTGAAAGCGTTCACATCTAGGATTTAACCTGCTGTAGCAGGTCATAATGGTCATATGTGAACACTTCCAAAAAGTTTGTTACCTAGATATATATAAAAAAAAGATAGTTACCCAGATGTGAACATACCGAAAAGTTAATTACCTTGATAAGTCATATTTCTAAGTTTTTATTTTGGACTTGATTGGTATAAGTAGAAAACTTTTGGACATTATAGACACTCTTTGTAAACAAGGGACCAAATTTCTTTCTAACATATGTTAAAAAACCAAAGTTAACCTTCATCCTATCTGATTCATCCTTCAGTTTGCACTCTCGCCTGCAGCAAACTCATCCCCTCTTTTTTGTGTGCTCTGGCTATCATGAATTCCGGCTGATTTTAGAACTAAAAATCAGCCAGGTTTGCGATATGATTCTGTTTTCATGACCTGATTTTTCGTCAATGCTCTTCAGTTTCATGAATTTTGTCTAGGTTTACCCGTTCCCTTTCCTTGTAATCATGTTAGCTTTCTCCAACCATAACTGTACTCTAATATGCAAAATTCAAGCGTCACATTGCTCGCATTCATGGAAACAATCTTCTTTTACAAAACTAACAAATTTAAACCTTCTAAAACCCCAAAATTTCCGGTTAGTATGTGCCGTTGGCGACCTAGGGCAAATGCAGAAAGTTGAAGATGAGAGACCGCGGATTAGATGGGCAGAAATCAACCTTGATGAAATCAATGACGCGCAAAGGAACCATATATCTCGATTGCCGAAAAACATGACCAATCGATGCAGAGCCTTGATGAAACAATTGATTTGTTTTTCGCCTGAAAAAACTAACCTATCGATATTGTTGGCTACGTGGGTAAGGAGTATGAAGCCTGTTCGAGCTGATTGGCTTGTTGTTCTCAAAGAAATGGGAAACATGAATCATCCATTGCGTTTCGAAGTATAGTTTTCTTAAATTTTCTACTCATTGATAAAATTTTCGCGAACCTGGTCAACCTTCCTTTGCATTTTTCTGCATAAATGTGTCGATTTCTTTATTCATGTTTAGATGATTGACATACCAATGTGTTAATTAGTATTAACAACACAATGTGTTAATTTTCCTGATTTCTGAAATCTTGATATAGGTGGCGGAATTTGCCCTTCTTGAAGAATCATTTGAACCCAATATCCGTGACTATACAAAGATCATTCATGGTTATGCTAAGCAAAGTCGATTACAAGATGCTGAAAACACATTACAAGCCATGAGAAATGAAGGTCTTGAATGCGATCAAGTAATTTTAACATCTTTAATTCACATGTATAGTAAATCTGGAAATTTTAATCTTGCAAAAGATACATTCGAAAAAATGAAGCTTCTGAGTCTTCCTCTAGATAACCGAGCTTACGGGTCAATGGTTATGGCATACATTAGAGCCGGGATGTTAAAAGAAGGAGAAATTCTACTTAAAGAAATGGAATCTCAACAAGTTTATGCCAAAAGTGAAGTTTACAAGGCAATGTTAAGAGCATACTCCATGAGTGGCGATAGTGTGGGATCTCAAAGAATCTTTGATGCAATTCAAATTGCGGGTATTATTCCTGATGATAAAATATGCACGCTTTTAATTAACGCATATGTAACTTCAGGTCAAAATCGAGAAGCTTATGTTGCATTTGAGAATATGAGGAGAGCGGGTATTAGGCCCAATGATAAGTGTGTGGCTTTGATGTTGGATGTTTATGAGAAGGAGAAGAAGCTTAAGGAAGTGTTGGATTTTTTGATGGATTTGGAGAGTGATGGGATTATGATCGGGAAAGAAGCTTCCGAGAAATTGGCTCGTTGGTTTCGGGAATTGGGAGTTGTAGAAGAAGTTGAGCTTGTCCTAAGAGATTATGGTTCAATAGAGGTGTAATATAACATGAATTTACTCGAGTTAAATGCAAGAATCGGTAAACGTACTTTCTTATATTTGCCCCTTCTTTTTGTTTCTTTTGATTATAACATTGTACATATAGGACCGGACAAACTATTTTTTTTATTATCAGGAGGGCGTTTACGTCTTTTGCATAGATGAGAGATCTAGAGTGAGTTTCTATCCCACATTGTTCCATCTTTTTAGATGGGATAGAGATTGCACTTTTGTCTCATTGGCATCTCAGATGCATGCATGACATGCGTTACGCAGTCTGGTATGCTCTATACTGCATTAATGCATATGAAACTAAGACGGGACCCACACTAAGTAGTAGATAAAGAAGAAAAATGATATAAACAAATGAAAATTATAATTTAACTTGATACTTAGTTACCGAGTAACTGCTATTTTTTAAGGTAAAAATAATAACAAAAATAAAAAATAAAAAAATTCAATTTTAGTGGCCAAAACTATGAATTTCGAGGCAAGAGAATTAGAACTTCTATAACTATATTCCCCTCCAATCGAGGCGATATTAAAGAAGCAATGTTCTTTTCCAATGTATAGATAGTCAAACTTTCTTTATTTAGATTTTATTTAGATTTTAACTTATTAATGTCGATGAAAATGGCTAGGAAATATTGTTAGAATTAATTGCGGGTTGATACTAGATTATAAATATGTCAAAACAGATTCAACGAATTATATCCGAGTGATCGAGACAAAAAATGTTAAGGAAGTATTAAATGATGGATGAAGTAGAAAGTATGAAAAAATGGCGTGTCTTTGTGTGCGTGCATGTGTTTAGTGATCGTCATTAGAAAAGAACTTAAATCAATAAAAATTACATGTAGTTACATCGTAGTTGCCACTGTGTCTTTCAAATTCCTCCAAATGTGTGTACTCGTAACCACCATTACCAACATGAAATCCATAGGTTAGTCGTATTATGACAACTTTATGTAAGGCAGGGTTTGTTTTTTTTTTTTTTTGGCTAATAGTAGAAAAGTTGACAAATAAGTCATCTTTACTGCCACTCTACTTAACCGTACATGAGATTTTCACCTCATACGACTCCTCGTGCAATTCTTTCAAAGTTATTGAATCATTTTCCGCGTTCGAGAATCCCCTACCTTCTTCCACTCCGTCCCGAAGAGTAACTAGGATCAATTTAGTCACGTTTCCATGCTTCTGTAGTAGTACTACTTCACTTTGATCTGTCGCGACCCGAACATAGTTACACCAAAATTTAACTTGTTATAAACAACCTACTTTCATTGCTTGTTTAGTATATCATCATATTTTTGAAACATTTTATAATCTCCCTCCTTTATTTTAAACATATATTATATTTGGAGTTTATTTATTTATTTATTTATTTTTTATAAACTATGTAGCTATAAAAATACTCATTTTCATTATAATTATTTATAAATTTGATTAATTAGTTAAAATAAAAATATTATTGATTAGAAAGATAAAATGTGATACCATAATTGATAATTTAGTGATCGAAGAATATTAAATGGTTGATTAATGGTAACAAAGTCAGTTATATGCTCCAATGTTTTAAATATTTAATATGTAACGCCCCAAAAATTCATAGAAAAATTTTCATTTTTAAAACAATAATCCATACAACAATTTGTTCACAAACCATTCTAGGTGAAATATAATATTTAAAAATCAGAGTAAAAATTATCAACGCAAAGTAAACTCTGGGGGATGCTGTGCAGTCACGCCGGACCCTTCCCTTTCGTACTAGAAGTATCGAAACCATAAACATGAAACCGTAAGCACAAAGTTTAATGAGTTCCCCAAAATACCACATACAATACATATTATTAGGCCTAGCCTGCCCATTAGGCCCAATCCATAATAATGGGCCTAGCCCTTCCTAATCAAAGAGCCCAGCCCAACATACAGTTGGGCCTAACCTGTTATATAATGGGCCTATCTTGATATACTATGGGCCCAACCCACTCATGCAAATGGTCCCAACCCTACATGCACGCCATTAGGCCCAATCCAACATACAATGTAAGAGTCACACAGACAACTAACATCCTACATTACATATTCCAATGGGCCGACATTGGTGCCTTCTACCCCCAAATATAATGAGGAGACTCACCTGAATCATGAATCAACTAAAAGCCTCACAAAAGCTGTTACAACACTCTTATCACATCATACAAGGTCCAATCTTAGACTACACACTAAAATCAACAATCTTGACCAAAAGTCAACCGATGTTAAAAGTCAATGGTCAAAGTCAACATCCCATAATGATGTCAACTATTCAGCCTCACGTCGTGACCAGCCCGTGGTCAGGTCGTGAGAGCCAACTCGGTCCGATTCCAACTTGACTTAACTTAACCTAGCCAACTCAGACAAAGAAAATCACATGAGCTGACCTCATGATGTCCAACCTTTTATCACGTCATGAACCCTAGATAAGCCACTAGATAACGGGATTTTCTAATCTCACGTCGTGAGACCTCATGTCTCACGTTGTGAGCACAACCTGAAGCTAAAATCCAAAGATTTAAGTCCTTAATCCATTAAGCCTTTTACTAAAACTTACCAGAATGTCTTATAACTCCATAATACACTTGAAAGTAAATGATTTTAAGACATGTATGTCCAATACATGTCTAGACCTCATTTGTGTCAAAATTTGAAGAAAAAGGTCATCCAACTTTCATGCAAGGTTCAACAACCCAACCATTCACTATATCTGAACTTCATGACACTCTAAAGACCCTTATAACCCATAAAGTTGCCAACTTTATGGTTTCCATTCATTCAACTTGATCAATCAAAGAAAAAGTTGGGACAAAATTTAGATCTAGCCACAAACAACAATAAATATGGAAGCTTTGACACCTACAAGGGTCCAATAACAATGTGAAGTGAAGATGATGATGATTCCTTACAAGCCTCACCAAATGATCGCCTTTTTTTTCTTCTTCAAACAAAGAAATGATCCAAAAAGGCCAAGATTAAAACAAGGAATGAATGCTAGGGTTTTCTGAGGTGAAAGGGGTTTGGAGGAAACCCTAAAAGACCATGGGCTTGGGCTGCATCAGCTCTCACGCCGTGAGCCTCTATGTCTCAAGTCATGAGATCGGTCTGAAACACTATTTACATAACAACCTTTCTCACATCGTGACCACTAAAAGGTCACGTCGTAAGGCCCTATTTCTTCCAAAATTCCACCTTTTGACTCTCTGAAACCCTAAATCGATCCATCCTGGATGTTAGACTAGGTTTAGTTTAGCATAATACATTGTTTATATTAGAGGGTACCTAATTGTATTTATCTAATAGTATCTTTCTATATATATATATATATATATATATTATATATATATATATATATAATATATATATATAATATATATATATATATATATATATATATATATATATATATATATATATATATATATAAGGATCGTGTAATCTTTGATCAATAACAATAATACACGGTTTTACTTGGTATCATAGCCAAGTTATCCCTCACGCCTGCAACCTTTTTCATGACCTAAACGCTAATTGCCGATTAATCAAGAAGCTTCATGGAGACCATAACTGCCTTTACTACACAAGATAAAAAGTCTCATAACTCTCACAAGTTTGCTTTTACCCTCTCACACACGAACTATGGGTATTGGAAGGCTATGATCGAACCTTTCCTTGTCTCCCTGTTCGGTTATGTCGATGGTACAATAACATGCCTGAAGCCCAAAGTTGGCACAAGAGATGCAATCATAGACAACCCTAGTTACCCTTGTTGGATCTGTAACGATGCTCATGTTCGTATGATCTTTATCTCCACCATTTCAGAGTCTTCCTTCCAACACGTCCAAGGCACTACCTCACGAGATCTCTTGTTACAATTAGAACGTGTTTATGCTCCACACAACTCTTCAAGAGAGTATACACTGAAAACTCAGTTGCTAAAACTTGCCATGAAAGGCGATGAAACTCCTCTTAGCTACCTTGCACATGCACAAGAATATGCTACTGCACTTGCAAACATTGGTGAACATGTTAAAGACAAGGATCTTGTCCTTCTTGTTATATCCGGGCTACGTGAAGAATACAATGGACTTAAGTCCACCCTCCTAGCCCATCACCCACCTATTACCTTCATCGAGTTGCATGCCTTGCTTAGTGATCACGACTACTTGATTAACAAAAATCTTCCTGCTATCCCTACATCACAACCACATGTGTTTACCGCTTCAACAAGAACATCATCACCCAACATCAGTAACCTTCAAATCCAACTTCAATCTCTACATAATATGGTGTCCCAACTTGGCTTCCAAATTAACCCAATTGACCCACAGAGCGCAAAACATTGTGTTTGGTCATTGCAACCGATGTGGCATTGGCCATCTACTATCTCAGTGTCCAAATAACCAAGGTGCTAACAACTCTACAAGACCGAACCTACAATCCAATTTCACAACTTATGCTGACAACGTCTCCACTTCAAACACTACTTGGTTCCCTAATACAGGTGCAAACTCTCATACCACACTAGACTTGTCTAATATTGACACCTCTAAGTTTTATCGTGGTTCAGACTCTCTTCATGTTGGTGATGGTAATTCTCTCCCTATTCTTCATATTGGATCTTCAAAAATTTATTCTTCCAATCAAACCTTTAATCTTTCCAACATCCTTTATGTTCCTGAAGTTAAGAAAAATCTTTTATTTGTCCAGCAATTTTGTAACGACAACAATGTTTTCTTTGAATTTCATTCTTCTTTCTTTGTTGTGAAGGACGAACTTACTCGCACCACTCTTCTCACTGGACCAAGTAATAATGGTCTCTACTCACTCTGTCTTCCCAGTCTCAAGTCAATACCAAAGATTGCTCTCACAGTAGTAAAGGCTTCTTCAAGTGTCTAGCATCACCCACTTGGTCACCCACATCAACGAGTTTTTAATACTATTGTTTCTAGTTGTTCTCTTCCTAT